ATGAAGGACGAAAAAATTTATCTGTGGAGGCCTGATATATTTGAGGAGCTACAAAAAGGGCAGTGTGCTGCAGCAGCAGGGGGAAGAGGTAGTTGAAAGCCAAGCAAAGCATTTGAAAGACGGGTAGGTCTTTCATATGCAATAGCAAGAACGAGACGAGACACAAGTCCAGGGCTCAGGACCCTCCTAGACTTTATTCCATGTATCCCTCATCAGGATGTTATTCTGTATCTTTTGTAACATCCTTTGGAGTGGATAAAGTGTTTCCTTGAGTTCTGTGAGCCATCTAGCAAGTTATCAAACCCAGCAAGAAGGATCCCCAGTTTGTCAGATGCACAGGTTACTAGGCGTCCAAAGTGGGGTTAGGCCTAGAGACTGCTCTTGTGGGATCTAGTGCTAACTCCGGGTAGTGTGAATTGAACACCCAGCTGGTGACTAGTATGGAAAAAAACACAGGCATATGGCCAGACGTTGAATGTAAACAATTCATCAAGTGTGTTAATAAAACGAATGCCTATTACCTTGGCCGTGAGGATGCTAGGAAGCACTCTACCACCTGCTATCTGTGCTGTATCTGCAACCCTTCCTGGGGTTACATGTTTTTTTTGTTTTGTTTTGTTTTTGTTTTTGTTTTTTTTCTGCCCCAACTAGAGTCCCATAATAGGGATATACCTCAGTTGTAGAACACTTGTCTTGCATGAGCAAAACTCTGGATTTGAACTGTATCACAGTGGGGGTGGAAAAAAAAAAAGACCAAACTGGCTTGGTGGTACATACCTGTAGTTTAGCTAGTCTATAGCCAGTCACAGCTGCACTGGTACTGTATGAGAGTTGAGGGTGGGGGACATAGATTCCTATCTCAAACAAGGAAACCAAAAACTGTGCTTGGGTGGCAATCGGAGGGTAGGGTCATACATGGCCTAAATTCTCTATTCTTCAAAGAAGGAGGCAGGAGGATCTTGAGTTCAAGGGCTGCCCAAGCTGCAGAGTAAGTTTAAGGCACCCTGGGTTATGTGAGACCCTGTCTCTAATGAATAAATAAAAAGTCCAGTGGGCCCAGGGCAGTTGGTGGTACACGCCTTTGATCCCAGCACTCAGGAGGCGGAGGCAGGTGGATCTCTAAGTTCGAGGCCAGCCTGGTCTACAGTTAGTTCCAGGACAGCTAGGGCTATACAGAGAAACTGTCTCCAAAAACAAAAGAAAAAGTCTCCAAAAATGTTCAGTGCCCAAGGACTGGCTGAAGTACACTTTGCAGTTTCCACCTTACAGACCACTATGTTGTTTCTAATCTCCACCTTCTGAGTCAAAACTTTAAAGAACTTCAGATGGAGTTTACTTTGGGATTGATGTGGTCCTATGCTCTATCAAAGGGATTGCTTTTATTGTTTTCAAGACAGGTTCTAACTGAGGTCAATGCTGGCTCCAAACTTGGGGAATTCCTGAGCCCGTCTCTTAGGTGCTGGGATTTCAGGTGTGAGCCACATGCTTGGTGGGGGTTTTAATATGACTAAAGTGTTGTATCAATGATAATTTTCCTGATCTTGGTAATTGTGGGGATCATGCAAAATGCATGATGAAATACTTAGGGTTAAGCATCAGGTGTGGGATGTGCAAGGTAACAAAATCTTAATCTGTATGACAAGTGTTCCACTATATTGTTTCATGTGTTTTCTTATATTACACCTTCCTCTAAGAGATTTGAAGATTTTAAAGTTGAGGGAATATTAATCCATTCATGTAAACAGCATAATAGAGAAACTAATAGAGAAACCTAGAAAGATTCCTTAATTGCCTAGGAAGTTTGAGTGCTATGGCTTGAATAGATCTTCCACCTGTTGAGTCTTTGAGGTAGGACCTAAAGGAGGATGCGGGTTATAGCCTCCTGAATGGACCAATGCTAATATAAAAGCGCTTGAGCCTACAAGCTCAATCCTTTGTTACTCTGCCGATCTATTTGGGATAATGCAGCAAGAAGAAATTTGGTAGCTGTCAGACCCTCAATTCTTGGGCTTTTCCAGTCTCCAGACAGACCATCATAGCAGCACGGAACAGACCAACAGGATTGCTACTTATCCTGGCCATTCAAATTATGTTGCTGAGGAAACATCACCCATGCTTTTGGTTTTAATTTCTCTTTATATTCCTTTTATAGTTAAGAACTATTCTCCTAAACCAGTTGGTGATGGCTCATGCCTTTAATACCAGGGCTCTTTGGCAGAGGTAGGAGCGTCTCTGAATTTAAGGCCAGCCTACTCTACAGAGTGAGTTCCAGGATAGCCAGAGCTAGAGAAAACCCTGTCGTAGGGGTTATAAAACAAACAGCAACCAAAACAAACCCCTTTGATCTTTCTGAGCATGGTGTTGTGTGCACTTGAGATGTATTTGGGGTGCTGAAGCAGGAAGACCACTTAAACCCTTGAGTTCAGGTAGCCCAGAATTTTAATAATGGCCCTCTTACCTATCTTCTCAAGAAACACAAAGGCTGAGGATGTAGCTCTCTCTGTTGGTAAATTGCTTGTTTTTAAGTGTACGCGAGGCTGGGCTCGATCTCCAGCACCCCATAAACTAGGTGGTGAACACTTGGGAGGCTAAGGCTGGGAGATCAGAAATTCAAGGCCATCCTTCACGGCACAGCTGTCCCTCAAACAAAACACATACCAACAAAAAAACTTGTCTTAGTTGTGTTGTCAATAAAACGTGCCCAAGGCAAAGTGGAGTTTGATCCTTAGCAACACACACAATACCTTTATGTGCTGGGAGATTGATTTCTAGTGGTTTGAAGCCCTAGGTTCAATCTCTAAAGACAACAAAATAAATTCAGGCAGATGTGATGATTACATGCTTATAACCTTCACAATCAGGAGGCTAAACAAGAATTTTTTTTTTTTTTTTTCAAGTGTGATGCCAGCATGAGCTAAAGCAAGACAGTCAAAAACTTATTTTCTGGGTTTGATAAAGTTGCACCCACTACCACAGATGGGTTAATCTCTACAATCTGTGTGCATTTGTTTTTGCCTGTATGTATTAAAAGAGCCTCATGCATTCCTGGTGTCTGAGGTAGCCAGAGGGTGCCTGATCTCCTGGAATTGTGGTTATGGATGGTTGTGTCAGTGTGGGCACTGGCAATCAAAACCTAGGTCCTCTGGAAAAGGAGCCAGTGAACAAAATGGCAATCTTTAAAAAAAAAAACAACAACCACCACCACTAAGACAAAGGCCACAAGTTTAAAACAAAGTGAAATCTAGGGGCTGGCCAAGAGCACTTGTTCTTGCCAGAGGACCTAGATTCTGTTCCTAGCATCCACATGGTGGCTCATAACCTTCACAACTCCAGTTTCAGGGAATCTAATGACTCCTGACCTGAGCACCAGAGCCACTTACCTGGTGCAAACATATATTTGGGCAGAAGACAAACCTAAAATGAAATTAAAAAAAAAAAAAAAAAAAAAGTAGCCACATTACGTAAAGCCTGTAGACATTTTTAACAGCTTTGAACAGGGTGTTTGTGTAACATATGACTGCTGTGGAAAAAGGCTGAGATAGTATAGCAATCGATATAAGATTAAATCTGGACTAATCCAACAAGATGATTCAGTGAGTAAAGGTTTTTGCTACCAACACTGATGATCTGAGTTCCATCCCTGGAAATCCACATGGTTGAGAGAATCAACTCCCATAAGGTGTGCTATGGCATGTACACACCCACAGACACAAATGCAAAACTTTTTTTTTTTTTTTAATTTAAGACTTAGGACAATCCAAGTGGTAGCTTAGAAAGTACATGAATCTGTATGTACTTTGCTAACATTTTTTTACTAAAAAAGTTTGAGTTGAACAACCTGAAGTTTCAGCATTACCTTGCTGTAAAACCAAGCCTAGAAAGATTAGAGGAAGAGGGTCTAACCAAGCACTTTAGAAAGGGGGAAACATATAGTTTGCATTCCAACATGGGTATGAATCATTCAGCAACCTAAGGGGCTGCAACATAACATGGAAATTGGAATTCCTTGCTTCAGCTGAGGCCTTTACCTTCCGATCTTGGACTCAATCACCACTGGCTGTTTTGTCTACATCTTTTTTTTTTTTCTTTTTTTCCAGACAGGGTTTCTGTGTCGTTTTGGTACCTGTCTTGGCTCTCACTCTGTAGACCAGGCTGGCCTCAAACTCATCGAGATGCACCTGCCTCTGCCTCCTGGGTGCTGGGATTAAAGGTGTGCACCACCATTGCCCAGCCTTTTCCTTTTTTCTGTCTACATCTTAATGACAGTGAGTTGTGTGTGGGATTTCTGTTAATTCCTTACAGCATATCTATCTGTATGTACTGTTATTTTTCTGTCTTGGAAACCCTAATATCCTCATCCCTATCTCAAAATGTTTGAAAGCAGATGGGTTTGGTGGTACAGGCCTTTAATCCCAGGACTCTACATAGACCCTGTCTCAGAAAATAAAGGGGTTTATATAGAAAAAGATCGACAGCACATACAGTTCTTCGCAGCACGACTGTTAGGGCTCAGCCGCCCATAGCTCCATGGGGTCAGCACTTGTGTACATAACTGCAGACACACAAGAAAAAAGTATACAAAGTGATCGTTCTCAGAAGGACAACTGTGAGAACACATCAAGGATGGGAAAGCAGAAAGGAAGAACTTTGGGCTCCTGTTCCAAGACTCAGAAACCAAAAATGAGGATGTAATACTAATGACACTGTTGCCTTTAAACCAACTGCAATTTTGTTAAAGCTGAAAACTCCTTGCTCAGTATTTTTCCTAGACAGATGACCATGACAACTAGATTTGTTTGTGCCAGTCCTTTGAGACAGGGTCTCACTTTGTAGCCCTGGGTGTGCTTCTGCATCAGCATACATGCCAATATATTGTATTAGACCCTCCACATCTTCAGTGTGTCCACACTTTTAGCCAATGTTAGAAAGTCATTTTCATTTCTCCCTGCAAACTGATAGTGTAGTTACGGTCCTGAAGCTACTGACATTTACAAAGGAAATCAAGATGCTGTTGGAATTTTATTTAAAAAAAAAAAAAAAATCCAGAATGGATGAAAAGAACAATCATCAAGGATATAGGTGCCAGACATAGGCCAGCCAAGAGGAGAGCTAGAAACGTATGCTTTAGGACCACGAGACTTCACTCTCTTGTATCTAAGTTATGGCTAACACAGCTGTTATCCATTGACCTAGCTTCTGCACCTACAAACCATGGCACAGGTAGCTTAGTCTTACAAGGCCTCAGGTGAAGGACCAACCACGTTCACATAGGCCATTCTTTACAGCAGTACTCTTGGCCAACAAGGATCTACATATAGTCTCAATCAAGGTCCATGACAGACTACCTCCACTGGATGTGAAATGGGTTTTAAACCTTGAAAACATGGCCACTTCAGCACAAACCAGATACACCTTAATAATGATTGGTACACAGCCCCATCCCACCCCTTCACATGCGGCTGAAAATAACAGGCTAGTGACAGAACAGTATGAACCTGCTACTGCTGAGTTATTCACCCATTAAATGAGTTAGCTAATTGTCACTAAACTTATATATTAAGGAAATTATATATAGAATACTGCAAAAACACAGTAAAAAGACTGAAGTTTGCCCCTTTTCTGCTCGGGAAGTCCCTTTACTCCCAAGCTTCATGGTATGTTGTACTTCTGGCTCCACAATGCACTGCCACTATTACTGTTTCTCCTCCTTCTGATCTTCCTTCTGTTCCCCAGTACTGGAACTTCCAGAACCTTCCCGCTCAGATGCCATCTGTTGAGAAAGTATTTGAGAATCACATTAGGCCTAATAGTTTGCTCTGTTCAACACACCTCATCCTGTATTTATCATTCTCTCCCCTGCCTTGCACACCATGGGACTCCTCTGCCTTTCCCTGTAACATGGACCAAAACAGCCCTCCAGCCCTTGTACCTTTTTATATGCCATCTCAAAGAGTTTCAATGATGCCTGCTGAAGTGAAGATGCTGCCTGTCTAATGTTTTCTCCTGTTTCACTGTCCTTTCGAGCAAGGAGTTCTCTCATTTTGGAAATCTCTTCCTTTAGCTTGTTGCACTGGAAAAGGCAAAACACAATAAAATAAAAATCCTTTTTCTAAATTCTGTCTCATTTCATGTAGTTTACTATTCAAATTTTTGCCCCCCCTACCTCTACCCTTTATTCGTATTTTTAAAAAACTGAATCACTATCAAACCCAAAGAAAAACCAGCTTCAATGAATTAGTGAATATTCTCTTCAATTATTTTAAATAACTTACCTCATCAGCAGGTAACTGGTCCTTGAATTCTTCCATCTTGGTTTCTGTGTCATGAATAATTCCTTCAGCCATATTAACTGCTTCAACACGTTCCTTAGAAAAAATTGTGAGTTTAATGTAACTGACTTTCCAATCACCAAGTTTCCTTAACTTCTATAGCAAGTGAGACAGTATAAGTTACTTGCCACACAGATAAACAGTAAAAAACGATAATGACTGTACTTAGAAGCACTCATGATAACCTGAGAAAGAGTTGACTTGGCTTTTTTTTTTTTTTTTTTTGGAGCTGAGGACTGAACCCAGGGCATTTCAAGCGCTCTACCACTGAGCTAAATCCCTAACCCCATTGACTTGGCCTTGTGACAGGAATTTTGACAGTGTAAGAGAACAATCCAAACCCAGTATGTGCCCTTAATCCCAGGTCCTAGGGAGGCTGAGAAACGATAAGGTTGTGGAATCATCCTGACTACATGGTGTATCTCATATTAAACAAATCATAAATTAAAGTAACAACAGGAGATGAGAAACTCAAGATCAGTGACATGCCCATGGTCTATTGTCAGTTTTACCAAGTTCAGCAGAGATAATCACCTTCTTTCTCCGGTCTTCCTCAGCATATTTCTCTGCGTTTTTGACCATATTTTCAATATCATCTTTGCTTAGTCCACCGGAAGACTGGATTACAACTGGAGTTAATGAAAAGAAAACTCTTTACTGCACTGAGCAGTAACAGTACACTGGGCATTGTGCACACCTTTAATCCCAACACTCAGGAAGCTGGCATCTGAGTTTAAGGCCAGCCATGGCTACAAAATAAGACCCAGACCCCAGTCATTCCCCCTGCAACCCCCTCCAAAAAAAAACCCACCATTTAAGTAACTAATCTGAATAATTCAAATTATGAACATTAATCATTCATTGTCTTTTAAGTAAATTGTATAAAAAGATTAAGTAGTCAGCAATCCACAAGGTCAGGCTTGCCTGTTTGCCCTCTCCTAATGTTAACGTATAAAAATATAATTCAGAGATCTATCCCAGCATTGAAAAGGACTGCAGATCTCATTGTTTGAGGCCAGCCTTG